GAGCCGAGGCCTCGCAGGGACCGAGGCCTACTACTTCAGTGTGCAAGTAGTGTAGCGCTACGAGTATATTAAACCGAGTAAAATCCTCGTTTTTATATGCTTGTATTTATTATTTGTTAATAAATTATAATATTTTCATTTTAGGTACACTGTAAATGTACAAAACAAATAAGCAGTACTATTTAATATATAAATATATACTCAGAGAGAGAGAGAGAGAGAGAGAGAGAGAGAGAGAGAGAGAGAGAGAGATTGTATTGAAGTTTTTTTTTTTTTTAAATCAATGTCATTCAACAGATTCGATAGCACAGTGAGATAAGTAGCCGACTACTAAGATGAAGGAACCTGGTTCGCTTCTAATCAGTTTTACATTTATTTTCTTTATGTGTTGAAAAAAGCTTTGTAAAATGTTCTAAGTTCCTTCCTTAACAAAGGTACAGCAAGATGAAAAAAGAAAATAAATTCCGTTTACAATATAATTTTCAATTCTCTTTTTGTGGAAAATAATAGATGGACGACCAAACGTAAGAGTGACGTCAATGTAGATTCTACTAAGAGAAAATTGTTTGTTAGATAATCAATATAATTCTTTTTTATGTATCAGGTTATAATCTACATCTAGCGCTCCTCTTTCTCCCACTCCCACACTCTGTACTTTGAATGACCTTCAATGATTTCCTTAAGGAAGAACATAATAGATAGGCCAAATTCCCCCCCCCCCCCCAAATTATTTTTTTCTGAAACTTTGATATTTTGTTGTAGAGTACAAATTCCCTTTTTATATATAAAATAAAAGAAATTCAACCGCAGATTTTTTGTTCACATAGTTTGAAATTTGGCTTATTAGACCACCGTCAAAAGATTGTAAAAGCAGACATTCCACTTGAGAATGAGTCCTTTGTAAAATTATTGATTGATCTATTGCAAACTTGTGTGGTGCTGTTTATTACGAAAAACCTTTTTACTTCAATTCAGTAAGCTATCTTGATGCTATTAAAGAGCTACAGCCACGAAGTGCCAAAATATGCCCTGTCCCCAAAAGAAATGATATTTTAATCTGTGATAGGTTAGACTTTGTGGGTTATAACACAGTTTATTTTTTAGTGATATCTTTTCCAGTTTTCTTTTTATAGTCGTTTGAAAATGGTATTGTTTTAAGTAAAATCTACATGTATAACGTCATGACTTTTGACGTTATATATACACATGTATATTGTATCGGAAAGACGTTAACGTAATTTCAATGAAGGTAATTCTCCATTATTGGAAGCGGGATCTGCTAAAATAAACCCTACCTAAGAATTTTATCATAGGACCGTTAAGAAGTTTTCAATCATGAGATAAATACAATGTCATGTAGCTAGCTAGTTTTTGCTTTGACTAAGAAAGTGTCAAATAGTGTTATATTGTCCTGTTTTAATCAAAAACAACTTTTTAAAATGATACATTAAAAGAAAATAGGGGAAAATTATTCACGGTGTAAATATTACCTGCATCCACAGTATTGATAAATCCGTTAAGTCACGAAAAAGTGAATGTTAAGTGTTCATTTTTTTTTTGGGGGGGGGGTGGGGGGTGAAATAATAGTATAGGCAACAGAAGGCTGTTTTAATAGCCGTTGCAACTTGTGCGATTATTCAAAACACAAGGGTCATGTGTAATTAACATTATCATTTATATATACATGTATTTGTTGCGTATCATGCTTAATTTTATGGACATTTTGTTTAAAATAATCCCTTGGACTTGCTATACATATAAAAGGATATAATTTTACCGATATACCTTCACACGTTTTTATCGTCAAGTGTTATCCCTTCGGTAGAAGATCTAGGGTAGTTTACATTGTTATGCATACTGGAAATTCATTCGAGATTCATAGTTAAAGACATTTGACGGCACTTGTTTGGATAAACTGTAAATTAATCACCAAATCTATAACCACTTTATCTAAACCTCTTTAAACGCCAACAGATGAACAGGCGCAGATCCAGAATTTTTTTTACAGTCAAAAAAATATACAAGCCAGAAATCTCTTCTCATGCAAAAAAAAAAAAAGCAAACAAACAAAACAAATTAACAGCAAACCCCCCAAATAAACAAAATAAATCCACATAAAATCCTTTCTCGTGTTTCGGATTGTTTCCCCCATCTTCTCAAGACACGGTCTGGAGTCCGCATACAGTTCTTCCCCCAGAATGGAAAAGTATGGGCATTGTGGTCGTGGTTTGCGATGATGATTGTGTTTCCCATACAAATAAAACCATGACTTTTTATACAAACTCGACACAGATTCCAGGGTTTCAGTGTCATCAAGGAGGGATCCAAAGTCACTTTAACTTAGTTTAGTATAGGTATTTAAAACTCCGAAAATCCCAGTCTCTTCATTTAGATCCGAGCATGGATGAATACCGGGTACACAGACAAAGGAGATAATGTTTATAATTTACCAATTCAACAAATTCCAATCAAATCGCTATCATCTTTGGGATAGAGAGAAAAATGTGAAAATAACACATCCTAAATACCAAGCTAGATTATTTTAAAATTATCATCTATGAAGGCAACGAAATTACATGCACGAGATAATTCTGATATTCTGGTACACCCCATGTAATAAATAACTGCTGTCATTTTATATAATGTTTGATACCCCTTTTGATGAAAAACTGGAATATGCAAGTCCGTTCAAGTGTAGATCAAGGCAAGTTATATGTTATGCAGTTTAAGATCTATATTATATTTTTTTAACAATAAAGAAGATTAAAGATCACCCCCGCTGTTGTGATATGGAACGCTTTCGACCATGCAACAATTACAAAATCAATGTTGCTGATCAGCCGGGGATATTTTTACAATTATAGAATAAGGAAAGTAAATTACCCTACCCTGTTGATTTATGTTTGTATTTATAAATGAACCCCCCCCCCCCCTATAATAGTGTCCATGAGAAAAGAGTCCTTCTGACATTTTCACTAAAACAGAGAAATAACGTCATAAAGACGTGACGTTGCTGATCGACGGCGAGTGTCAACGCAGATTTTTTTACCACGTGTAAAAACTTACGTTTTTGACACTAACTTTTGTCGTAGGTCTGAATATTGATAATAATGAAAGAATTTCATTCGCATATTTGATCATTCGCATATTTTATCTGTGTCCAAATCCTTTTGCCCAATAGTTTTAACTAAAAAAAATAACAGAATTTTATTCCAGATCGGTTCCTTTACTAGTACAATTGAAGCTATAGTATTTATATAATTTATTACTATGATACGTATATACAGATATCATTATTTTTTTGTCGAGAGCTTCAGAAAATGGATTAACTGGCTTGTTGAATACATGCACGTATGAATTCGATTTTGATATATGTGGACCAGTTTGAGATTACATACATGTATTGTACTAGACACGTTAATAAAATTAATATCGCAAAAGGATTTTGATCCGCTCCACCATTCACAACATGTAAACAATGAATCACCGGTGCAGGCTAACTTTTGATGTGTTGTATTTATGCGATGTACATATATTTGGTATAAAAATGAAGCTCTTTTAACTTCTTCTCAAGAAAGAATTAAAACTTTAAAGTATAATTCTTCTGAAGGCATCACAATTCGAGAGGAATACACAAGCAGAATATGATAGATTTTGTTTAGAAGTAAAATAGATCGATATAAATTGCGGCTATTATATGTAACACCTCTCGTAATATTATAAGGAACTTGAAATATTGACATATACTCATCCAAGTTCAAGATTTTGTTTCGTGGAATTGCAGACAATTGATGTTTAAATCCTTCAAAATCGTACATTATTTCTTTTTTATTAATATTTTAGCAGCAAGCTAGCATAATATTATTTTGATTGTATGACGAAGGGCAGACGTGATTATGATATACCATGTTTTCAGAGTGATATGGATCCAGAAAAAGGGGGTGGTCCATTTTTTCATTTGTTAATTATAACGAAGATAGTGTACAGCTTTAAAACGAAAACAGACGATTGAAAGGGGGTGAAATTGGAGATAATAGAAATAGACCTCTGTTAATATATGTAATTTAATGATATTGAGTAAAGTTTAAGTGATTCATCTCACATCTTGAAAAAAAAATAAATTACCATTTAAAATGATTACAGTCTTTATGATGTCACAATGACGTATTTGTATTACTTTTAACGTCATGTTCAAAGACTGACGAAGAGAAATGTAACATGTTTTTTGAGTTTTGAATTCAGATAATATAAATCGAAGATCATGCCTCTCCACAAATTTTGTTTCAAACGAACTACTGACTATTTTTAAAATATATTGTATGTAATTTTTATACAACTACTGTTATATAAACTAAATATTACCGAATGTTAAACAAAACTGTCGAATCTTTGCGACATCAGAATTTAAATGTAAAGGCATATTTCATATTGGCCACACGTATGAACAACGATTATATTAAGCGTGTAGATTCGTATCAGCAATATTTATACATATGGTAAGTATGAAAGATATTCTTGACTGTGGCCACACTTAATTTAGGGAAAATCTGTCGAAAAATCGGCATTTTTAAACGTTTTTATGAAACCGTCGCATCTTCAAACAATCGCACGTGCCTAAAAGCGCGTTATTTTTAAAAATGAGTTACGGAAGGAAAAGAAGTATGCTGTCCTCTAATAATTAACGTATAATACCAGCCATGAATAGAAACTCGATTTTTGTGAAAAACACAGGGCCAAATATGATGGTTCGTGGCTTTACCTCTTTGAGTAAAATATGATGTAAACATTATTTCAATGACAAAAATTTTAAAAGATTTAGTAGATGACAGCAGAATATTGACCTTTACCTGTAAGTATTACATTGACCCTTATAGTACATTAAGAATAGAGACACCTAATATATATATCTAAGTATCAGCTCTTTAATATTTATGGAACAAAAGTTATACTGCATTTAATTACAAACTATAAAACGCTTGTTTGTAGCATTTAGACCCAGAAACACATTCTAAATTGTTCACTCCCAAGAACTTAAATCTCCCATTATCTCTATCTATTTTAGGTAAAATTTAGTTGTAATAAGTTGTTGTTTTTTTTTTCAAAACAGCATCTTTACTGCAGTATGTTATCATAGTTTCCATCCAGTGAAGGAAGTGCGCATGGAATCTGAACTAATAATTGTCCCTTTAGCTCCAGATTTCTTGTGTGTCTGAATGTGTACAACATCATTAACATTCAGTTCCGTCGTAACCATTCCTGTGGACGTCTGATCAAGGATGTTTGCAAGACTATTGACAATAATTTGACCAACGCTATCGGAATTCTTTATGATTTCAGTATATGCGTAGCTCCCAGAAGTGCATGCAACAGTCCAGCTGAAGACATAAAAACCATGCTCTGGTGCTGTGAAAACTCCGATATAAGGATTATATGACCCTCTTGAGTTTGTTATCACGTGATCAAAGACCAGTATATGATGAGGACTGTTTGATATTTCGTTGTGACTCATGTAGGCATAGAAAGCAACAACTTCAACTGAAATATAATTAATTACTGACATTGAATGTTTGTTTTCTGATCATGTCATATAGATTAAAAATGTAATATGATTTTTTGGTAAATAAATGTAGTATTATGATTAACATACCATTTTGCTGACTATTGATCAGTCTCTTTGGAAGTTGTACTTGTCTTGGAATTTCCTTAATACTCGCAGATTGTTGTCCTACCAAATTACTTTCACTCTTATTATCTTTAACACTGTCCTTCGCAGGTTTCCTTCGTTCTTCATTCACAATAACCCCTTTCAAAGTTTTTAAGTCATTTTTTCTTGTTGAGATCCACGTCTTAAGTCTACGCAAATACGAGTCTTTTCTTCTAATCACAGATTTGAGTTCATTTATTTCTTGTTGCTGGGCTTCATCCTTGGTCTCGAGAACTCGGATTCTCTGTTCGTGTTCCTCAAGTCTGTTGACAAGATTTTGGATGATATCACCAACATTTCTTTCGTCACCATCGAAATTCAAACGTGTTCCATTCACCAAACAAATAAAACAACTCAATATCGTAAGACGTAAAAGGAGCGACATGATAGATCAAGGAATGGTTTCCTGATTTAATTCCTTCGCAAGCATTATTCTTATCTCTTTATATTGTTTAGTGCATACGATCTCGATTTTCTTTATTACTATGGAAACACTTTAACACACTTCCATAAAGTGTACAGGACACATCTTCATTTGTTCATAATAGAGTAAATATTATTTATTATTTATAAATTATTTAACGGAAATGCAAAACAATTACTGAACACCGTATGAAAAGTTTTCTATTTATATGTAAACAGACTATACCTGTGAATGTGATCTCAAATCTATTCCTAAATTTACTGCAGTAAAGAAAAATAATTTTTTAACTAATTTATATATCATTATTCTTTGGAAATTTGATCTACTTAGAAGCATTTCCCTACAAAATTAAAATTTTAACGTTTCTTCAAAAATATATATGTAATATTCGATTTTAATTGTAAAGAAATTTAAAGGAATACATAGCTACAAAAACAAATTAGATTTTCATCTGTTACAAAGGTTTCTAGAAGGATTGAATATTAGAAAGACCCATATCAAGCAAATAACAGACTTGTGGTCCTCCACTTTTGGGGTCTTTGTTGGTAGATATCATTATTTGTATAGCTTATTGTGTCACGTATGAACGCCTTATCATAGGTCATTCATATCACCACCTAGGTTAATTATTTTTAAAAAAGTGAATTAGATTAAACATAGATTAAACAAGGAGTTCAAAGTCAAAGGGTTAAAAAAAATCATATCATATTTCAAAAGGTCTTGTCACAGGTATTGTAAATGTGAAATAATTACGCTTTATCTTTTCTTATTCAAAGTTATGACCGATGTTAACGTTTTCTGGCAGACTGACAGACTGACAAACGAATGAGATTTAACATTCACTCGCTTTCAAAAAACAGGGGACAGTAGATTGATTCATAAGTTAAAATTTGTTTTGGAAATCGATCTCTGAATTCCAGAATCCATTAAGCTATTCAAGTTATGATTTCTTATAAATAAACACAGCTAAAAATCATAGTACTAATCTCAAAACATTTAACGTGTGCCTCAGCTCTTATTTTTTAGTGGTTAAATCATTTAGCAAAAGGAAATTTCATAACAACATCAAAATTGAATATTTTTGCTTTGCAAAATCAAACATTTATAAAATGGCAATATATTTAAGTATCATTTGAATTTGGGAAAAAAATACAGACTAACGCGATAAGAGTGTGTTTTGCAAGATTAAGGACACAGTTATGCTTGTTCAACTTGCGTTACCTTAATAAACTTACAAATAAGACTGTTGATTAACACTTATTGTAAACCCTTCTTCAATGTGTAAGCATTGTGCATCTGAAGGGTAACACTAAATAACATGCTTCAAGCAAGTGTACAACAGGGAATCCGTTAAAACTTACAGGTTTCTTATTCCAAAACACTGGTACCAATGAAAGAACTACCATGGTTTATTGGGATTTTAACAGTTTCAGGAAATATCACTCATAGTGCATTAAGTGCATTTTCCTTGGTTGATCACTTGATAGTATTGTGAGAATCATATTCTTTAAAAAGTAATAAACGGGACATTATTTTCGGCCGCAATAACTGCCGATCCTTTGATGGATGTTTTGAAAGTAGCATAGTGAGAAACGAATCATCGCGTTAATATAAAATTCCTAAGCGAAAACTTATATAAAATTTAAAAAAATTTAAAAAAAAATAGCCCTTAGTCTAAGTGTGATGAAGCGTTTCACTTTACTTTTCACAACTCGTCAGATTTTATTAAAAATGTATGTTTTTTTTAAAAAAGTTGTTACAGAAAGTGCCCTCAAATATAAGCGTGTGCAGATTTTAAACAAAAACATATTGAGTTTCCGGATATAAATTACAGTACATAAAATAATCAATAAAACTGTAGAGAGTTTAAGGATCCTTTATTATGAATTCACTACATTACAAATGACAATGCTTTTAGTATATCATCACGATACCGATTGGCATACCACATAACAACAATTCGTTTTCAGCACGTGAAGGTTGTTCGTCCTATTTTATAAGCAATTCAGATACTTATTGCTTTCCACTTGACTCAAATAGTGCAATGGTACTACATTCCATATTCCTTATGTCAGACCAAGTATTTATTTCCATTTTTTTTTCACAGTGGGTCATTGAAAATTGAGTATTCAAAATGCACAGGAAAAAAAAAACACAAGTTTATAATGTACCATATACTTTTTCTGCTAAATTATATTTTCTTATTGAAATCAACCATTAAACTATGAAGTCATGTAGCCCATGTTTGCATTACAAAAAGACAGAAGCAAAGGAAAAATCACAGAAAATGTAATCAACAGAAAAATTACTTTTATTTCTAAATAAGGTTTCTATGTCATTTATTTGTTATGCTGATATAATACACGAAGAAAGGCGATTAAATTATAGTTGGAATGAAAAAGAGCTATCCTCATTTTCACTTGAAAAGTTCTGCGAAAAAATCATTCCTATATAAAGTGTGCATAATAAAGACAAAGCTACATCAGAAAATTTGTCATCATTTATGACTTTCATAAATGATGACTATTCTCTGATGTAGCTTTGTCTTTATTATGCATTATGCTTTATATAGACGAATGCAATGTTTTATTATTTTTATTGAAAATGAGCATGAGTCTTTTTCAAATTTTCCAACTGCAAATGTAATCGCCTTTCTTCGTGTATTATATCAACATAACAAATGAATGACATAGGAACATTATTTAGAAATAAAAGTAATTTTCATTTCATTACATTTTCTTTGATTTTTCCTTTGCCTCTGTTCAAGTTAGTGCAACGAATTAAACCGACTTTAAAAATATAGAATTTCCACCAAAAAAAAAAGACGTCAAAGATACATGTAAGTACGGTGGAAAAATTGTAAGCTTGGATTTTACTAATATATTTGGATATGTTGGGGTTAAATTTGGCAGTTCTATTCGGTTCATTTACTCTTCTCTATCATTTGCTTCTATGTATTTTATATCAGGTCAAGAAAAAATCTTAATAACACCCTCTCTTAATGTTAATAAGGTCAATTTTTTAACCGCACTTCTGAGATTTGTCACACTGTAAAAGGATATCATTTTGATATCCTTTTACACAGTGACAGAATATCAACCTTTTCAGTTCAATGAATAAATTACAATATATCACTGTAAAAATGTAATAAAAATTTTAATCTGAATTTGATCAAAATGCAATTGAAAAGGACAAACAAGACTAATAATGAATCATGCATGAATGGCTAGATACAACAGCATTAATTAAACTGTATAAATTTTAGATAAATTCCCTGAAGACAAAGGAGAATACGTTCACATTTCCTAATAGCATTTCCGTCTTATTCTGGATATTTGTCTTCACCACACAAGTTTGTTCTAACATTTACTTACGGTATGGAATTAACAAACAGAATTCAAGCTCAAAAGTTCAATTAAAAACATTGGAAACAAGGTTAACACGAATATTACATGTGGGACCAGGTGCCACAAAGAACAGAGCATCTTCTGCCCGCCAATCAAATTGCCGATGTAAAAGACGTGTAGCAATCATTTGACATGCGTAATATATTGTTTTTAAGATTATGACTCGGTACATGAAACTTGTTGGATTTCGTTGTTAGAAGTTGAATTAAAACTCAAGAAATTAGTCTGCTGAAAGTCAACAATATACGAGAGTTGTTCGAGAAGTTCGTGGACGATGTCAATCTTCGTTATATTACTCACTAGATATTTCAAATGAGCACAATATAATATGTAAAAATATTTGTTTTGTTGATGTGTGAAGTTTCATTCCATTCGATCTAACAGAAATCAATTTACTTCATTTTAAAATCAGCATGTTTTGTACCCGCGGAGCACTCTTGACGGCAATATAACGTCAAAACATACGTCAAGAATTTCTTTAAAAAATACTACCCCTATACATTTCACACAGTATAATTTAATGCCCACTTACTTTTTTTGCTCTCGTTGTATAATTTCCTTTTTTAAGGTTTTAATTTATTTTATTAGTCTGCTTTCACAGGATACGCAACTCTGAAGCGCCTATGTCTTTCCTTGAAGTTCCAACTTTTTACAGTCTTTGTTTAGATTTTTTACTCTTAATCCGTACCTTCACAGATTGTCCTAATCCGATACAGAGCCTCTGTCACTCAAATACTACCTGTATTATTTGTACATACATGCACAACTCGCTTGTGACATATTTTCTTGATTCCTCCAACATTTTTAGAGTTTATTCGGGGTTTTTCTGAGTAAATCACAAAATTGCATCGTTATCTGCTGCTCCATGACGTTCTAAAACGTCGTCTATTTTGTCGTATTCAATAAGGACTACGTATCATCTCAATTTGATTTCTTATCAACAAAGCAAATTATAAAGCCATAGTTTTGTATACAAATCAATGTAACAATTCTTAATTTGAATTTTAGGTTGTTTTTCGTTTTTACTCCATTTTACAGAGAATATGACTACAGACATTATATAGTGTATTATCTGTAACGTACTTAATTTTGACCTGCTCTGCAATCCGATTTTCCATTTTTAAAATCTGGATAAGTTTTAAATGAATCGTGATATTTTGTAAGATTGAAATACAAATCATTTGGATTTATTGTTAAAATATTTCTACCAAATTTGGATAACATATGACGTTAAATTAAAAAGATACAACAGTTGTCCACGAACTTTTCGAACAACCCTCGTAGTAATTAGCTTTGGGCATTTACGTACTATGCAAAGTATGAAAATGTAAATTGTCTTTGTCTTTCACATATACATATTTTTTACTTCTATAAAATATACAAACATATTATGTAGTATCCGTTAGAATAAATATTTAATTATAGATACAAATAGTCAAGAAATAAATACCTTCTTTTATTTCTTGAAATGTATAGGCAAAGGAGAGGAAATTTACTGAAATATGATAAATTAGTTTAGTATTGACGCTATATAAATCTTGTTAAAAATATCTATATTCATTTATTCTAGGTATTTTTTT